GGGAGGAGCAAAGGCAGAGGGAGAGAATCTCAAGCAGGCTCCAGGCCCAGCACAGAGCCCTACACAGGGCTCCATCTCACAACCCTGAGATCATGACCTGAGCCAAAACCAAGAGTCGGACGCTTACCGACTGAGCCACCGAGGTGCCCCTTAATTTTTATTTTAAAAGGTTGTACCCTACTACTCCCTCCCCCGCCCTGCTCTCTCTTAAAAAACAAACAAAAACAGTAAAAACAAAACAAAACCAAAAACAAAACAGAAAGGGGTGATCTAAGGTCATGATCTAAGGGTGATGAGATGGAGCCCCATGCTGGGCTCTGTGCTAGATATGGAGCCTGCTTCAGATTCTCTTTCCCTCTGCCCTCCCACCCCCACTCTCTCTCTCTAAATAAATAGTAAAAAATAAAATAAATAAAAAAATAAAAGGTTGTAAACCAGAAAGTTAAAATACGTAGAAAAGTTCCAATTAAAATAATAGTACCTGCATTTTATAATTTTTCCTAATGCTAATTTTATCTTGTTAAGCTGCAGATACAAAGAAAATTTAAAAAGCCACAACACAGAAAATTGGTGTGAAACATGTACAAGTGCTGTGCTCAGAGCATGAGTATTAAAATTCTAGTCAACATTTTCTGGCAGCCAATATAAACTTAAACTACCTTGTTACAAGAAGTATATACAAGATGTGAAATTAGTATCAGTAATGCAATGACTATGTCCCTTCCTGCTATAACTTAAAAAACAGTAACTGTTAACCCACCTCAAATGGAGCTGACCCGAGGAACTGGGGCCATCAGCCCTTGTCAACCATAAATTATCATTTAGCTACTGGCACCAATGTCAAGTACCCTGGTTCCTCCTCAAACGTTAAAAGTAGGAAGAGCAGAAGTGTTGATTAAAATAGCTTTCTGTTATAGCAATGTTTTTGGCTGCACTGCTTATGATTTGGGTTTTTTGGTCTTACCTGTCATATCAGGAAATTTATTTCTATGGATACATACTTCCAGATTAAGGAAGATAAAAGACAGTTTCTGCTAACCACAAAAATTGTGTTAACATCTCTACAGATTACTGCTTTTAGTTTTTCTTTACCACGGAGCCTATGTTCTTAGTCTTCTCTACCTCTCAATGTATTTGTTGTCTGCGATAAACCGCTGCTGCTACTGTTCTCACTGCTCCCCCCTCAGAACTCTATAAAAAGTGCACCGTGCAAACGACAACAGACCTTTCAATCTTCTGCCTTGCTTGCCTCCCAAAGGGCCTAGTGACTTTGTTCAAAATAAATCACTCTAACGAGGAGGCCTGTTTCCCGCTATTTGTAAGACCATATACATTTGGGGTTTCTTCTGTCAGTCCAGTTGATAATAAGTCACTTTCTACTTAAGAGCATACTAATTTCTTTTTAAGTTCCTATCCAACAGCTGTTTGGTTTCCTGCTATTATCCATCCTTCACACATCCCATACAGAACTGTTCTAACGAATGTAATTTCAACATTGGGCAAAGGGGTACTAGCTGAGTTCCAGGAACTTATTTTCTTACTCTTCAATGTACATTTAAAAGATGATACTAATTTTATTTATAAAAAAGATTTTATTTATTTATTGGAGAAAGAGAGAGAGAGAGATGAGCAGGGGGAGGGGCAGAGGGAGACAGAAAGCAGACTCCCCACTGAGCCCGTAGCCTGACATGAGGCTCGATCCCAGGACCCCGAGATCATGACCTGAGCCGAAGGCAGACACTTAACCGACTGAGCCACCCAGGTGCCCCAAACTGATTTTTTAAATTGCGCATCAAACCAGGAATAAAAATGTGTGATAGGTATCCAGCCACATTCCTAGAAGTAACTATTTTGGGGCACCTGGGTGGCTCAGTTGTTAAGCATCTGCCTTCGCCTCAGGTCATGATCCCGGAATCCCGGGATCAAGTCCCGCATTGGGCTCCCTGCTCTGTGGGAAGCCTGCTTCTCCCTCTCTCACTCCCCCTGCTTGTGTTCCCTCTCTGTGTCTCTCTCTGTCAAATAAATAAATAAAATCTTAAAAAAAAAAAAAGTAACTATTTCCTTCAACTCCGCTTGAATTGCTGTGTTGTTCCAATAGTGTCTTTTATACCCTAAGGGTATTGAGTTGTTTTCACTCAGGTTTCATTCACTTAATACTTATGAGTTTGTAAAGTTTACATAACACTCCTTCACTTGAAAACCTATCTCAGGAAGCCACCATTAGACAGAACGCTCTCTATGGGAAGAACTGTTCGTTTTCTGGCCAATGCTAAATGTGAAAATTTAGTTCAAAAGGTATTTCACCTATTTCTGGGTAATTCTCAGGTAATTACTGAGCAGCTCCAATAACAATATTCAATACTGGTAGATATATCTAAATTGTGATCTCCTAGAGACCATTTCACATATCCACCCTACTAATCTATCTGCCTTGGGACAGCAATGATAGGCCTTTACATTTCATTTTTTATCAAAGTAATGCATGTACAAACTTTAAGAAGTCAAACAGCACTTCTAGGCTTATAGAGAAAAACTACAGAAATTCCCACTCCCTGAAAGCACTCATCAAACCCCTTAACTGTTTCTTCTAATATTGGCCTCTTTATTTCTAAATAACATGCTTGTACTACTCTACCTTGATTTTTTTGGTTTCAGATATTTTCTAATTTTTTTTACTATAGAAGATAAAGACTTTTCTCTTAGACCACTGCCCCACCCACTTCCTTAGCTGCTTCCACCGAATGTTCTTTTTTACATATCAACATTTGATATAAGCAATATTACATTAATATAACTGTATAAACATTATTCACGGCTGAACCATATACTAAATTAAGATTATTTTTCTTGTACAACTGCTTGCTTTTCCTAGGGTTAATTAACTATTTTGTTTTCTCTTTTCCTTTTTTCTCTTTATTACCTATGAGTAATTTAGCTAACTCTACAACAAAAGTATAAATCTCCTCTTAATACACTCAAGCCCATCAACTCATCCACAAAGTCTGTTTCCCACTCTCATGGAAATGCTATTCCTTTGTCCTGCTCCAGTCTGAACTGGTAACTCTCTAAAAGTTGTTTAATGGTCATTCTGAACTATCCTCTATCATCAACCTGATAATCCCATTTACCTTTTCCCTAAGTCAGAACTCATTTTTTGAATCTCACATTGTTCATTTACTTTCTTATTTAGTGAAGCATGCACATCCTCCAGCAAAATTCTGAGGAAGGGTGTGTGAGAATCAATTTTTGAGCTCTTACATGTTTGACAATGTCTATTCTACCCTAACACTTTGATTAACAGTTTAACAGGGTTTAGAATGTCCTGGGTAATTATTTTCCCCAGAATTTTCAAGACATCGCTCCAGTGCTCCATCCATTGTTGATAACATTCTTTTATACATAGCCTGTTTTCTCTCTCTAGAACCTCTTAGGATCTTATTATCTGCAGAGTTCTAGAATTTTATGAAGCACATTAGTTCTTTCCTCATTTACCAGGTATTAGGTTATTTCTTCATCCAGATACTCCCACCCAGCTACTCTGGGAAATTTTCCTTTGTAGTACCTTTTCTTGATAACTTTCTGCCTTTTAGCTTTTTTTCTTTCTGAAATGTTATTATTTGGTACTGAACCTCATAGACTAATACCCTATTGTCTCGTCAACTTTTTGTCTCACCTTCTCAGATTTCTCAGTTTATCCTCTATCCCTGTTGAATTCTACTATAACATTTTTGATTTCCAAGAGTTTTCTTTTTTTAGTCTTTCTTGTTTCAATGATGAACTATCCCTTATCTCTGAGAATATTAATTTTTAAATTGTTCCCTGTTTCCCAGCACTTGGTTTATTCTATCCAGTTCCTTTTGTCTCTGTTTTGATCTCTCTTATACTGGAGGTTTCCCCCAAATATCTGGTGATCCTTGATTTGTGAGACACTAAAATACTGATTGAAAATGGTGAGGATGGGTGGTCAGAGCGTTTCGACTAATGGGTTTCACTGTAGGGTGATCAAGCAGAGATCTATTTCATTTGGAAATTCCCAAATATCAAAATCTCAAGTCTTTTCTCTTAGGTAAGAGAGTATCTCAGAAGATGCCTCCTATTTCCCAATCTGGGAATAAGCAACACTGCAAGTGCCATGGGTAGAGAATTAGAGGCCTTAAAATTTGACTTAATTTCCCTCTCTTTACTCTTTTGTCTCCTCTACCCTCATTTGTGCCAGAGTTTAATCTGATTTAACCACTCACTCTACAGAGTAAGGCTCCAGTCTTTGCCTGGGTGGAATCCTCCCCTACCCTGTTCAGCCAAGACTGCAGGATAAAGTCCTTTAAAACACTTTAACCAATTCTGTTTTTTGGCACCACCCATATCCCTGCTTTCAAAGATAATGGAGGTCCTCAGACCCAAGACTGCCTAAGGTTCTATGGTATGTAAACCGATTTCTTAACTCCCTGCTCCCCATGAAAGGTTCAGCTTACTGCTGAGACAATTTTTTTTTTAAGTAAACTCCACCTGCAACATAGGGCTTGAACTCATGACCCCAAGATCAAGAGTCACAAACTCTACTAACTGAGCCAGCCAGCCGCCCCATCTGCTAAGACAATTTATCATTCACCTCACACAATCACTTGCAAGTTTTGTGGACATCTCTTATCTGCTGTCTCTTCTCCCTCGTTCTCTGGTCTTGTAGCTTAAAATTTTTCTTTTCATTCTTTTGTTGTCATTTTAGTAGGGTTCTGGGAAGGATTAGGGAATTAAACAGGTGCTATGCTTATCAATCTGTTACGCTTAGCTGGAAGCTTGTCTTATTTGTTTGAATTCAGCACATCCTAAACATGTTTCATGAAATACTAATCCCAAAAGATGTTTCATGAAA